CATATTTGTATACCTAACCCTTAACTGTACCCCACAATATCATAATAAAAAATATTGATTATAAAAAAAAAAAGAAAAAAGAATAACAATAAATTAATAATTTTATCAGGAAAAAATTTAAATTAGACATAAAAAGAAACTTCCTGATTTGGAAGTAAATGAGAATTAATAAGGCATTTTTTCAATACTCCTTTATGGAAAAAAGTCATTATGCATACTAGTTACTATGAGGTTGAACCATATGCTCTTTACTATTATCTATACATAAGATCCCACTTGGATTTTCTGTCTTTTCTTGATTCTTTACTGGAGTCCTATGTGTATTCTGCAAATTAATTTCTTGTTGAGTTAGTCATTGAAAATGTCTTCTGTCACTATCGTTTGATTTATATCTGTCATTTTATATTGAATAAAATTTACATAATGATTAATGTTACGTTCATTGATTTTTAACTTTATTACCATGTTTTGGGAGACAAGAAGTCTTTCACCATTCTGAGATCACAAAGATTTTCCTCCATTTTATTTATTTACCTTTAAACTTTTACTTTTCACATTTGGATCTCATGACAGTTTATTTTGCTTACGATATTGAGAAAAATGATGGTTATAAAATTGGTTAGATTCTTCCCTTTTGGGGATTCTGCTTCTAATGTCAGTATCTCACTGTTTTAATTAATATAGTTTTGTAATATGTCTTAATAGCAGGTAGGAAAAGATTCTTTTCTTTTTTCCTCTAAAATTGCTTTATTTTCTAATTCTGGTGGAGATTTTTTTCAAATTGAATTTCTAGATTGGGGAAATAATGTATTTACAATGTTATCTTCTGATATACAAATATGTTAGTATGTCACTCTGCTAAGGTCTTTTTGTCTCTGACTCATAGGAATTTTCTAAGTAAGTCATTCAGTCTTTGCAGTGATCATTATTGTCTCTTTCTTTCCATTTTTCCCTCCCTTTGTCCTTTTTTCAACTGGGCAGAATCTCCTGAGCTGTGGTGAATACAAGTTCTTATACCTTGCATTTCTGTCTTGTCCTTGAGCCTAACACTTATAATTACGCTGTTTTATGATGCTTGCCCTTTGTTTATTGTTTTGTTTTGCTTGTTTGTTGGCCTTTATCTAATGATGGAATTTTCCTTTTAACAAGTTTCTGAAATTTAAAAAAATCGTTGATAGATGTACTTTGTTAGATGCTTTTTTTCTTTCAATTATTGAGCTTATGTGGGTGGGTTTTTTCCTTTTGTTCATTCGTGCAGTAAATTACGTTGATAGACCCTGATGTTGAGTCTTCCTTGTGCAATTCGAATAAATCCTACTTGATCAGCATGTTTTTTAAATCCATTATTGGATTTGATAACTAATACTTGTTCAGGATGGTTATGCCTTTAGCCATAGGTTGCTCTGAACGATGATTGTTCTTTTACTGTCCTTGTCTGCTTTTATCATCAAGGTCATAGTCGCTTCATTGATAAGCTGGGCAGCTCTCTCTCTTTTTCAATATTCTGGAATAACATAGAAAATAGGAATAATATGTTTCATAAAAGTTTGGAATAACTCACTTGTAACATCATCTGGGCCTGAGGCTCCATTTTTTAAAGTGGGGTGAGGAGCAGTGCTCAGTGAGGATGCATTTGGCTGCAAGGATAGAACAGCCCACTGAAAGTGACCTGAACCTTGAAGGTATGTCTTGTTGTCGTTTATCGTTTATCACAGTTTAGGCTCCATCTTATCAATGTTTGCTAGGACCAGCCTCCTTCTAGCTCTGCCTTCAGGAGGTGCTGGCCATGGCTTCGCATGGGCACACGAGGGTCACAGTTCCAGGGTTAGGTCCTCAATGACAAGGGACACACTGGATGGAAAGGGAGTGATGTGTTTATAGAAGCTCCCCAACGGACTTTCTTACAGCTCACCTGAAATGGGCCACGTGCCTACTGATAGTCCAAAAATGGGCCAAACCTAACAAGATGGCCACGATGTGCTTGGATCACTCAGGATTCCTCCAAGGGGCTGGGCCTACTCCTGCCCAAGCACCGTGTGTGGCTCTGCAAGAAACGTGGGAGGAGGGCTGCTGGTCCCACAAGAGCTGGACGTCAGATTTTCTGTTTTTTGTGGCAATTTTAATATTTGTACGTTTTTCCAAAAGTATATCTCACTTTCCAGAGTATTTGGAATATAGTCATTTGAACATCATTTTATAATTTTAAAAACGTACTTATGTTTCTTTCCTTTTAATTCTATATTTTGCTTGCATTTTCCTTTGCTTTTTATCTTGATCAGTTTTGTCAGAAATGTCTCTTTAGATAAAACTAATTTTGGTTCATGCCTAGTGGTGGTTTATTTATTTATTTTTTGGCTTCCATGTTCTTGTTATTTCCGTCTTCATCTTGATTACTATTTTTATTGTTATTATTATTATCTGGCTCTTTAGACTTGGGTTTGTTTTTTTTTTTCAGAATGTCTTGAGTTAAACACTTCTTTTGACTCCAGACTTTCTTGCTTTCTCATAACTGTGTTTAAAGCTATACATTTCCACAAACTGTGGTTCTCTCTCTCTCACAAACTGACATATAGAGCTTTTATAGCCACAAAGCTCCTAGAACCACACTTCTTGATTTTCTTTTTGTTTTCTCTTTAACCTAAGTTATTTAGTCATATGCATTTACTTTTCAGGAATTGGTTGTTATTTGGGAGTTACTTTTACAGTTCTGCTTTTGTTATTGCTATTTTAAAATAAATGTTTTTTATTTTGAATTAATTTTAGATGTACAGAAAAGTTGTAAAGGTAGTACAGAGTTCTTGTATTCCCAGTTTTCCCCAATGTTAACACTTTATATGATGATGGCACATTTTCAAAACTAGAAACCAACTTTGGTACATTTCTATTAACTAACCAAACTCCAGACTTTGAATTTCACCACTGTTCTACTTAATGCCTTTTACAGTTCCAAAATCCAATCCAGGGTAATGTTGCCTGTGGTTGTCATGTTCCTTCCAACCTGTGACATTTTCTCAGCCTTTCCTTATTTTCTCATGACTTTGACCATTTTGAGGAATAGTGGGCAGGTGTTTTGTAGAATGTCCCTCAATTTGGATTTGTCTAATGTTTTTCTCATGATTAGGCTGGGGTCATTGCCTGATGAAAAGAAT